GCATGTATGACAGTGCACGAACACAGACACATGACAGTAAAGGGCCAGACATTTTGTCGATACAAACCACATCACTGCACTCTAGGGACAGCTATGTTTGGCATTTCTTTGTAACCAGTGCACACAAATGATCTCCACTACACACTGACTATGTACAATCTCGTGAGGTACTATGTACACATAGTCACAGTACTGAATTTATACCATATTGTCGCAGTAAAAACTATAAATGCTTTGAAGTACTACTATATATCCTACATGATAACGGCACTAAGCAAATACCACATGCTTGTAGTAATGATTGAAGACCACATGCTCTCAGTAATAACTATACACTATAGTCTTGCAGTATTTACTAACTACTATATAACAACAGCACTAACTATATATTATAGGCTATCAGTACTAACTATATATTAGAGGCTGTGTTAGCGCAGTCGATAGGAGACTCGCTTTCAAATGCAGCTTCGACTAGCTGCAGCCCACGACCGTGTTTCGAAACAGGGCGGTTTCCATGGTTCACTCAGCCTCTAGGTAATGGGTACCAGAGTTAACAATCTGGGGTAAATAAAGCAAAATCACTGTAGCTACGGAGTTGCGTGCGAACGGCGACAGTTTCTTATCAGATGTCCGTACTGGTGACAGCGCAGTTATGGTTTATAAGCGTGTGCAATGACGCTGGTTCACATCTCCCGATTTTATTATTATTATTAGTACTAAATATTTACCATATGCTCACAGTACTGACTATATACCATATGCACGCAGTACTGACTAAATATATACCATATGCACGCAGTACTGACTAAATATATACCATATGCTCACAGAACTGACTATATACCATATGCTCACAGTACTGACTATATACCATTTGCTTGCAGTACTGACTATACACCATATGCTCGCCGTACTGACTATATACCATATGCTCGCAGTACTGACTATATACCATATGCTAGCAGTACTGACTATATACCAAATGTTAGCAGTACTGACTTTATACCATATGCTCGCAGAACTAACTATATACCACAGTCTCGCAGTACTGGCTATATACCATACGCTTGCAGTACTGACAATATACCAAATGCTCCCAGTACTGACTATATACCATATGCTCCCAGTACTGACTATATACCATATGCTCGCAGTACTGACTATATACCACATGCTCCCAGTACTGACTATATACCATATGCTCGCAGTACTGACTATATACCACATGCTCCCAGTACTGAGTATATACCATATGCTCGCAGTACTGACTATATACCATATGCTCGCAGTACTGACTATATACCATATGCTCCCAGTACTGACTATATATCATATGCTCGCAGAACTGACTATATACCAGTCTCGCAGTACTGACTATATATCACATGCTCGCAGTACTGAATTTTAACTAAATGCTCACAGTACTGACTATATACCATATGCTCGCAGTACTGACTATATACCATATGCTTGCAGTACTGACTATATACTATATGCTCACAGTACTGACCATATACCATATGCTCGCAGTACTGACTATATACCATATGCTCCCAGTACTGACTATATACCATATGCTCACAGTACTGACTATATACCATATGCTTGCACTACTGACTATATATCACATGCTCGCAGCACTGATGATATACCATATGCTCGCAGAACGGACTATATATCACATGCTCGCAGTACTGATGATATACCATATGCTCGCAGTACTGATGATATACCATATTCTTTCAGTACTGACTATATACCATATGCTCACAGTACCGACCATATACCATATGCTCGCAGTACTGACCATATACCATATGCTCGCAGTACTGACTATACACCATATGCCCACAGTACTGACTATATACCATATGCTCACAGTACTGACTATATACCATATGCTCGCAGTACTGACAATATACCATATGCTTACAGTACTGACTATATACCATATGCTTGCAGTACTGACTATATATCACATGCTCGCAGTACTGATGATATACCATATGCTCGCAGAACGGACTATATATCACATGCTCGCAGTACTGATGATATACCATATGCTCGCAGTACTGATGATATACCATATGCTCACAGAACGGACTATATACCACATGCTCGCAGTACTGACTCTACACCATATGCCCACAGTACTGACTATATACCATATGCTCACAGTACTGACTATATACCATATGCTCGCAGTACTGACTATATACCATATGCCCACAGTACTGACTATATACCATATGCTCGCAGTACTGACTATATATCATATACCCACAGTACTGACTATACACCATATGCTCACAGTACTGACTATATACCATATGCCCACAGTACTGACTATATACCATATGCCCACAGTACTGACTATATACCATATGCTCGCAGTACTGACTATATATCATATGCCCACAGTACTGACTATACACCATATGCTTACAGTTCTAACTATACACCATATGCTTACAGTACTGACTATACACCGTATGCTTACAGTACTGACTATACACCATATGCTTACAGTACTAACTATACACCATATGCTTACAGTACTGACTATACACCATATGCTTACAGTACTAACTTTACACCAAATGCTCGCAGAACTGACTATATAGGGAGAAGTTCCTGGAGAGAATTACCGGATACAGCAAAAGGGATGTGGGCTTGGCTGGAGTTGGTTTAGGGCCATGTTATATTGCTAGGTACACGGGAGTGGTTAAAGAAAAACAATGCGGTAGTTATATGAGTGATGTCACTGGTGAGGTATCATTTATGTTAACCATACTCTCATTGTAGTCGGCCGGCGTGATGTTGACCACTTCGTCCAATAAGCGTTGACTTGCTATAAAATATACGTCTAGCTTTAAATGCCCAATATGAGTAAAGGCTTGGAGAAGGTCACCTACTATACTCTAATGTAGAAGAGGTTTTTGTAATAATTTAGTCACGATGCATATATTTCCAATCAGTGTTTCAAAAAATCAATTGTCTCTACAATGAAATTTGACTGCAGTTATCGTCTTGAATGTTTGTTTCTGGTCCTACTCTCAGTGTCTGCTATAGGGTGGTCTACGTAGCGTCTATGTGGCGTCTATGTGGCGTCTATGTGGACGTCTATGTGGCGTCTATGTGGCGTCTATGTGACGTCTATGTGGCGTCTACGTGGCGTCTATGTGGCGTCTATGTGGCGTCTATGTGATGTCTATGTGGCGTCTATGTGGCGTCTACGTGGCGTCTATGTGGCCAAGCCGTTTTGCTTTGCACTCAGGTCGTGAGTTTATGGATGCGTCGTTCATTCATGAGTACAGTTTTTACTGAGATCTCCGGGTGTCGTCACTGGAGCTACGGAGTTTTGTGCGATGCTCTCGGCAGGTGACTATCCGTTTAGTGGACAGAGCTATTAAGCTGTGCAGTGAAACAAATCCTCTTGGCTTCAACTTGCAACTGTGCCATAGGGGATACGAGGGGGGGGGGGTGGGGGGAGGGGGGGAGCTTCATCACATGATTATGGCCGTGTAACTTGCAACTGTGGCTAGAGAGGATACGGGGGGGGGGGGGGGGGGGGGGGGGGGGGGGCTCTTCATCACATGATTATGGCCGTGTAACTTGCAACTGTGCTAGAGAGGATACGGAGGGGGGGGGGAGGGGGCTTCATCACATGATTATGGCCGTGTAACTTGCAACTGTGCTAGAGAGGATACGGAGGGGGGGGGGGGGGGGGGAGCTTCATCACATGATTATGGCCGTGTAACTTGCAACTGTGCTAGAGAGGATAAAGGGGGGGGGGGGGCTTCATCACATGATTATGGCCGTGTAACTTGCAAGGCTGTTTGGTATTTAGAAAAGTCTTTCACTATAGTTTGTTTTCTGTATTCAACCCTTGGGGTTGTCACCTGAGGGTGTTGAACCCTACAGGGTGTTAAACCATACAGTGACTCGACCACTTTTCAGATGTCAATTCAAGAGGAACAAATCCCAGACATTTATTTAAATAGTACAAAATAGTATTTTTGGGATGCGCCAGAGGCAAGGAACCAACAGTCTGCACTATAAATGAGTTAGGTTGGTAAAACTAAGTCCAGGAACTAGACCAAAGTTCAGTACTGGACAAAACAAATCAAGACTTTCTGCCACAGTCGGCTAACATGGAAGAAACAGAAGCTACATCTGTGTATCGGATTTCACCACTAATGTTGCCACTGCATGTTCACGTGTTTCATCTCAGACGTTCAGCTTTCAACCTATCTGCAATTATTTTCTCCTTTGCCCTGATTGCCCCCCTACCTGCAACATGAAGCAGGCAACCCTGTTCCCATGACTACAGCCTGATACCTGTAGTCAGCGCCAGATGGCAAAGGGTTAATGGAAGTTCAGCAGCTTTTGGAGACAAATAGGCAGTTAAACATGGAGCTGTAGCAATTCTATATCTAAAACACCGGTTAATGTGTTTTTCCAAATACAAAACACGATGCCTTAGAAATACATCATCATCATCATCGGCAATCTCTGCAATGAAGACAGGCAGTGACGAGACTCTGGCACTGATGTAAAGTTTAATATTGTACCGTGTCACATCGGGGCACCAACTCACCATCACGTGCCCTGCCGACTGGCGTAGGCGTTCATGCATCTCCACCTATCCGGGTCCTTTGTCCAGTGGATCAGTTCCACCAATGATATCCCTTCGTGCCACCGTGGCCCTCCATCCGTGATCATCTCTCTTAGTCTGCCTCCACATCTTCTACGGCTAATCTTCCCAGTCGTAATTGTAATCTCCAAAGTCCCCCCCCCCCCCTTTTTCCTCATCACATGTGCAAATAACAGTGCCAGTCTTGTTTCCCTCTAGCGGGCATCAACGAGACCCATTTTTGTACAGACCAATCGGCCCTTACTGGGGATACGGACAACATAAGAGACGAAGCCTTTACTTCCCATAAATACTTGGGCAAGCCTCATATGCACACAAGGGCTGACAAAATTCCTTAACGTACCTACGAAATAATATAACAAATATAAAACCAGTACTCACCGCCTTTTTACTGCAGTAAATCTGCCATTTCTTCTCTGCAGGCAGGCTGTATAAAGCATCTCTGTGAGCTTTGTCTAATCCGAGCTCAGCCTTTATTGATACAAATAAACACATTAACAAAGTACTGATTTGTTGTCAGATTACAGTTAACAGGTAGACATTAGCAGATATGCAAAGTAACAGACAATTGGAGCCGTGCTGGTGTAGGAGTTAGCAAGTTCACCTACTAGGGTAGTGGTCCGGGGTTTGAAGTCCTTGCAGAAACAAGACCGGAATTGTGTCTACCTATACGTGTGACGAGGGATGTTGCTAGTCAGGTATCTGTGAAACTTTTGCTGGCTGGAAAACATGGCTGGCTGGTCATCCCATCTCACTATGCCCTGACCTAGTTTGTCTAAAAGTATAATACTCGACTGGACATAGACTAGCCTATGACTTAAGCCATTACCAGTCATTGTCCAGCTGACCCATCTTATCTTGACCATCTTTTACCCCTAGAGCTCCCTCTGCCCTTGCAGCGGAGGGAAAGGGACCCGGAAAGGGGGGTTACAGGTGGTCAAATCGTCTGTCTAGTGCTCTGAAGGTCATGGGTTCGTTACCCGGACTGCGGCGTTCTGCTCACGAGTACAACTATTACGGAGATCTCTGGGGATCACCGCAGACTCACTGCCTCCCTAACAAGCATGTCGTAAAAGTCGACAAGTTAGGTTTTTTCGAAATCGGAGGGCATCTGTCTGAAAGGCAAGGAACCAACAATCTGCATAATATAAGCCAGTTCTGTAAAACGGATGTGCACACAATCCTAAAGTTCTGGAACAGAATTCTAGTTCAGGAACAATAAGTCCAGAAGCTAACGAACAATCAAAACTTTAGGACGCAGATTACAGCCGGTGTACGCGAAGAAGAAGATCGCCAGAGCTACGGAATTCGTGCTTTGCGCGACGCTGTTCGCAGGCTGCGAGCTACAGAAGGGGCACATGGAACACAACCTGGTGCAATGAAGTCGATGCTCTAGACTGTAACTAACATTTGTACCTTGCGGTGTCGAGGGAGAGTATCACCAGCAAGACACGTTTGTGTGCTTTGTGTACGGCAGTTCCGATGTAGTTTTCTCATACTGTTTGCAAGTTTACATGGTCGGCCTTTGATTCCTATCTGATCTGTAAAGTATTTCTAGTTATTGTATTCTGACTGTTGAAGTCTAGTTCAACAGAAGAAACATTTCAGTCGTTGTTGTGTAATGAAATCTAGCACCGCTTCTACCAGTAATTTCTTTCCGATTTCATCACTTGTGGAGTTATTTTATACTATCCCTACTTTTATTAGGATTTAACCATTGTTGATCTATTCTGATAAAGAACAGAATAGGACAAACCAAAACTGCATTTGATCAAATTAAGAACATTTTATGTAATAAATGCATGTCAATGACGGTTAAAAAAATAATTCTTGCTGCATACAGCCAGTTTTAACATAAGGCCATGAATCCTGAACAGTTGATTAACAAGCCAATTTTCTGGAAGCCTCCAAGATGTGGTTTTACAGAAGAATCCCTTAAATTCCTTTGACAGTCAAAAAGCAACCCAGATGTTTTGAAAGATGCGACGGATCGAAGACAACTTAGCACATACATAAAAAAAAAAAAGAAAAACACAAAAGTAATCACATCATGTTCCCATCACGATAAGAGAAAAGGGAAAAGGGAAACAGAAACGTGTTGTGACCACAAGAAAGAACTGTGGAAAGAGACGCAGAAGAAGACAACGCGAGAAGATTTTTAACAGCCTTTTGTAATGGCACAGAGGGATGTCAACACACGAACTGAAACACTCAGCTGCAGATCGCAGATTGTAAGGAGGCATGATCAAACACACCAATCGACAAGCCACTGATGATGATGATCTGATCTTGCTGGATTTACCGAGTGCCCTTCTACTAATTCAAGGAACAAGGCATTTCCTGCTAGGTGCACGCGCGCACACGCACGCACACACACACACGGTTCACCATAACCACACTTAACCTGAACCCACAGCTAGGTAAGCCATGATTGTACTGCACTGCTGCCGAAGACAGACGAGGGCAAGATCAGGTCTAGAAGACATACATGCGCCAGAAGACAACTGGGATGACTTTTGTAAACAGTTTTGACAGGGGAAGAATCTTGACTTATCTTTAATAATCAAGACATAATGTACGAGATCACATATTTAGCAAATGCACAAAAGTTCAATATTAATTCCATAAAAATCAGGTTCTTTTTAACCCCAAAAAAAAAAAAAAAATCGATGTCTCTTACTTACCACAAGTTCCTCGAATGTGCTGTTAAGTTCGTTCTCATCCGTTGGCATGGGGATATCCAAGGTGACCGGCTGCAAAGGCGCTGTGATATCTAGTCCATGTTTGATCTCTGGGGGCCTAGGGCTGCCCCCGAGACACCAGCATAAGCTCTGACTGCTTGGCATGTCGGTCTACAGACTGAAGAAATAAGGGAACAAATAAACACACATCTCATCTCATAACAATACGTGAATAAAAATACAACCATTAGACATTAAACATTATTTTCTGTAGACAGGCATTTCAAGGATATACGACTGTCCGTATGCCGAGGTATCAATAGCGTCTTTACAAGAAGTCGAGAATAGTGCCATTGGGATGTACTCAGCATGCTGGAAGAGGCGGTCAAGGGTCAGGTTTATTCGTATTGGGGATAGCTACCTACTCCAGTGTACAACATTAATTGCAAAAGTTAACCAGCTATATATAAGTATTTTGCTTGGAGAGAGTTGGTTCAGGGCGTATTTACAACTGGGAAGGAAGGAGGAAGAACAACAACAACACGAAGAATAAGAAGAAAAGGAAACGGATGGAATATGAAGAAACCTGGTCATTAAAAACAAGAGTCTGAACCCTAGTCAGCAGTGGGCTGACCAGTTGCTTTGAAAAAACCAATATAAAACACAAATACAATACAACAGACGAGGGCGTGATGAGATCATTCTGATGTAGCGGCTTCAATGAGCTAGTCCGCGGATCTCAGAACACAATTCTTGCAGGCCACTTAACTCTCTTCGCCACCACAAGTTAATTAATGGACATCAAAAGCACACAGCTGTGAGGGGGTCAAGTCTCCGTGACGGCAACGACGTCAGGTTGTTGAGTGGTATTTGGTAAAAGAAGGGGTTATTTATGATCGTGTGATCTCACTTTCCTATGATCTTTACCGTGGTTCCCCGAGTATCAGAAAGGGTCACACTAATTTTCCCCCTTATGGCTTCCAGGGTCTTAGTCGAAGGCGGGGGAAAGGGCGGGGGGAAGAAGGGGGTGACAAAACAAAACTCCGTGCTCTCTAATAAGAATGGTATAAAAGGCGACTAAATGGGGTTTAGCTAAATTGGGATGTTTTGGGTTGAAAGGCTCAGATATAGCAGCCTAACAGTAAATCACAACCTAACGTGCTGTCCCTTTTTAGGGCGAACACAAAAGAAATTAATTTTTGTTCGAAAAGACACGTTACTGCCTTTTTTTCATAGGCGATCTAATTTTTTTTTTCATGTATAAAAAGAAGTCCGTTTGGAAATAACGTATTTAATTATAATTTATGTTATCGTTTTTATAGCATAAATGTAAATAATATGTACGTATTTATTTATTTATACATTGACAGGTTTATCATTCAGCACGTCTGACTGACGATCTGAAAACTATGGCTTGTATTTGGGAAGACTCTTATAATATTAGCGTTCTGGAAAATCCCGTGATCGGCTTATTTGGAGGAAATGCGGTAGTAGCCAGGCTACAGAGTACTGTAAATTGAACTCCATCATATGTGGGCTAGGTACTTCTTAGTAGCAGACGCTAGACATCCCGCTCTAGTTTAAAGTCTTAAAGCGCAGACTGGTGCCAAACGTAACTGATAGAAAACGGACATAGTGAAGGTAAAAGACGTTAGCTAGGCGATGAAAAAACAACAGAGAGAGAACCTGACATGTATTTAGAAGTAGGATCTAAAATAGAAAAGAGACAAACCCCGGGGAGGTTAAAAGTTAAAAAATTTACCTTTGTATTCTTTACCAAAATAGCTAATCAAAGTAGAAAATTATATACAACAGTGAAAAGGAGACAAACTTCTTTGGTCATATGATGAGAGAAAAAGAGCATTGGAAAATATCGTGACGACTGGAAAGATCATTAGTAGAAGTGGCAAAGGCAGACCATGAAAAAACGATGGTGGTTGGAGAAATAGCATCAGTGGAATTGATCGAGAACACCAAAGACCGAGATCTGTGGAGATAATTCAAAGCCTACGCCAGCTGGCAAGGCACTTGATGATAATTCTTTACAGAACTTTGCTTTTTATTATCCGTTTAAAATTTTACGAGGCAATTTTGCGTTGAGAAGTTTATCAACGTGTATTGAACGATCGGCTCTGCATACCAGTATCTACATCAAGGGAAGCAACCTGCTGTAGCATCGCCTGCTGCTGAATTCAAAACGATATTTCGAAATCAGAAGCAGTGTTCCCTAAGGTGTAGACAGCGACTAGATAAAAGACTTTGGAGAAAGACCCCCTCCTCCTCCCCCCCCCCGTCCCCCTTCCCCAGACATCCCAACAGTTAGTTACAGAAGGAGGCAGGCTGAGGAATGCCGATGGGAAGAAATAGTAAGCTTGGACAGAAAACAAGCTGTAATTGGGGGGAAAAGAAGGGGGGGGGGGGGGGACCAAACCAATGGACAGAAAAGCTTAATAGGCTAGACAACAGAAAATCTGAAGGATAGACAGAAAAAGTATGCTTAAATAAAACATTATATAAAACAGACTAATCCACGGGGATATAGATGATTGCCATTGCCAGTTGTCCAAGAAAAAGCAAGAATCCAAAGCTTGATCCTCTTTCAGCCGCCCGAGGGACTGCTATATCGAAGAAGGGATCCTTTGCTGTGAATACAAATAATTATATGGTTTTCCTTTTATTTAAATGTGGTGTGTAGACACACAGACACAGATATTATTGTACCTGTTTGCTTCCTTGCTGTGCTGCGTTGTTTGCGGTTTTGGGTTCTGGTGTGATCAGAGATCTCTTTGCGATGATATTGAAGGGTAAACTAGCTGACTGTTGCTGGTGCTTGGCTTGCCTCGTGCTGGTCGCTGTGCTGGTGCCGAATGTTGCTGCTTGGTTGCCATTGTACGTGATCTAAAAGCCGCCGGTATTATCTTAGAAAATAGCCAAAACACAATATCCGTTGCTCACGTCGATACGAACAATGTTCCTTTTCAGGACACAATCAGGGCCGTTACACAATCTGTGTGTTACAGATGATCGGCCAAAAAAAAAAAAATCATTTTTTTTTTTTTTTTTCCACGGAGTGTGTCGTAGAGAGTAGTGAGACGTGTGTGTGTGTGACTGTGTACGTGTGTGTGTGTGTGTATGTGTGTGTGTGTGTGTGTGGGGGGGGGGGGGGTTACCTACTAATAAAGACTTAGGTCGAAACTTTCGTTTGTTTTAAATATATTTTTCAGTTTTATCTTTCTGTTCGTTGGCAGGGTTGTCGGTGTGTTTACCTGCTAAAACAGTGGTACGAGTTCAATCCTTGACAAGGTGGGATTATTTATTCTGACCAGTCTGTCACTGATTGTGATTCACTTAAAAGGAGCAGCTCACAAAATGGGACTAGTTCTCAATCAAGATAAGACAGAATACATGGTTATAACAAGACAGGGAAAGGATATAAACTCCGGCTACATACAAGTCGATAATAGGAAGATTAAACAAAAACATATAAGTACTTGAGTGCAAACTTCAACTACTCCAACATGCTGAGAGAAGAAATACAATATAGAATACAAATTGGAAATAAAGTATACTTTGCACTTCAGCATCTGCTAAAGTCAAAGTCTCGATCTCGCAACACAAAGATCAAAATGTATAAAATGTATAAAATGTTGATATGACCAGTTATTTTTTAAAATCTGGAGGTCAACTAAAAGAGAATAAGCCTTATTACAGACGATAGGAAACAGTGTTACGACAAATCTTTGATTCCATCACAGTTGCAGACAGCGGGGAATGAAGAATGAGAAGCAACAACGAAATTCATAATCTGTTTAAATCGCCATTGATCACTGGCATCGGGAGAGCTAATAGACTTGGTATACTCAAAGAATGTCAGGTGACTGAGAGGTAAAAACTTTATACACAAGGGAGCTGAATGGTCGTAGACCACGAGGCAGACCAAGAAGAACATGGAGAGATAATATCAATATAGACCTAGAAACACTTAGTGTCACCAACTGGAAAGGGAAGGCCAACCAGAGAGATGGATGGAGGCGGGTGATTTCTGCAGCAATGAACCTCAAGGGCTCAGAATAATGAAGCAGAAGAAGTCTGGCGCTGGGGTCAACTCAGTCAAATAAAAACGTTTACCAATCTTCAGAATTTGCTAGAAAGTAAAGACGACAAAGAAGGGAACTGGATGTTTCAAATTGCACATCATGGCCTAGAATATGCGAGGGTCCAAACCTCAAACTGCAGATAATGGCCTAGACAATGGCCTAGAATGTCAATTATTGTGTGTGTATTTGTATGTTTGTAAGGCTCTATCTATGTATTTGTTGGTAAAGGATGTTACTATGTCAGTATTTCAAAATTTGTCCCTGTCATATATGAAAGTGATAGATAAAAAAATTAAGCTGTTCGGTGCATATAACGAAAATCACAGCATCTTGCTGGGGTGTTAGAATATGGATTCCTTCCCCTTCGCCGTCTACACACATCGTGCGTAAAAAAACGGCTTCCGTTCGTTCGAGGCCCGACACGAAAGTGGGAAGCTCTCTTTCGTGCAGGCGACATTGAGCTTTTTTCTGTTTGTGTGCACCAGAAAGTGGTGTTGAAAATTTTTTCTTGTTGCTGTCTCTTGTGCCACCGACACTGGTTTGAGAATTGGTGACATTTTGGGGCCCACTCACAACGATGTAACACCAGCTGAGCACAACATGGAATACAGAACATGCTACCTGCTCGCAACGCGGAACATAGAATGCTTATATTATTGACCGTAACACAACATGATACCCCTAGAACATAGGACAGCCTGTGAGAACGGTCACGGCATGAATGGGATATATGCGGTGATGTTCATGATATGTACCAGTTTTTCTACTAGAGACATGTATAGAAAACACTCCAACCAGAATTGCACACAATGTCAACACCGAAAAGTCATGAACATTACAGTACACTAGCATAAGGACCACTGCCTTACTACAAAACTTTTAACATGAGAGTGTGTGGTTTGTATACGACTGGCGCGTTATTTCTGAATTTTTTTCCACTGCTGGCATGTCATGAAAAGCACATCTAGAGGTCGATCATGCAAACGATGGATAGTTGCACTTTCTCAAGCCGTAGATACCAACATTGACGTAGCTCATACCAAGGCTGGCACCCTATACCTTTTACAA